GGGGCCATTTGACCCCGTTTAGTACGTTCAGTGTTAAATACAAGTATTGATCTAACATTATATAATGCACATTCGTTGTCGCTCATTTTGTGTGTCATTTTCGAAGTATAGTCAACTCTTTGACATTATTTCAACGTTATTTTAACTCACAGAAGACACATGCTGGGCGGAAGGAAACTGGGATATTTTTTTCACACTATGCGCATTCTGTGAATTCTTCACTTCATAATTGTCCTACAAAATGGATAAAAATCCGCAGTACATACATAATTTACATATAGCATTTTACCACGGCTGTTCAAGTATAACTCGTCGAGTCGGTCGTAAGTAACGAGACTCGCTGAGGAATTGCATCAATTAACGTTCGATCCGTCGCGTCTTTGTACTTCCGGTGTTGTTTTGTCTCTGCTGTCCATGGTGTTTTACGAGCTTTCGCTAGGCTTGCGCGAATTTCAAACGTTCCCTGCCGCGCACTAAAACTCCGTCCCCTGGGGCAAGTTTAATTACACCACGGTAATTTCCAGCGTAATGACGGAACGCTCCGGATTTTCACTTAAACGATTTTCCTCGTGACGCGTGCCACATTCCCATGATTGAGAAACGAACCTCGACGACGGTTTAGAAAATTTGAATTAGAGACTGGTGATGTATGCCGTGTTTCGAAGTTTGGCGGTGATCGAAGGGGGAGGATGCGAGAGTTTCCTATAAAAGTAAATGAAAAGAGGGTAGAATAGAATTTATCTTAATCCCCATAACTCTCGACAGGTGTTACTTTTTTATTTATTCTATAATGTAGCAGCCACGAAAATTATGGTATGTAAATTGCACATTGAATTTTGATTTTAAACGAATCATTAAAAATAATAATATAAATTTAAATGAAATTTAATTATGGTTGGATTATTAATTATATTAATAATTTACATACAGTTTAAATTACAAACATTAAATATGAAAATTTATAAGATATATATTTAATAAAAATTTCTAAATTAATTAACGAAAATTAAATATGGGAATTAAAATTAATAATGATAAATAAAATGCCAGCAGTATTATTTTAAAAATGAATTACTTTAGGTAAAATTTGAATTAATAAATATGATATAATTTAAAATATAAATATATATAAAAATTAAATTATAGATTAGACTAGGATTAGATACTCTATTACTCATACATATACTATAGATTACTCATATATATACATTTTACTCATCCTTACTTTCCAATGAAGCCCTCATCCTTCTTTCATTAGATTTTTAGAATTTCGTGAAATTGGAAATCTTACCAAGTTGAAGTAACGTGACAGAATATGCGAATCACGATGGGAGCTGAAAAATGACAGAATAAATAATAAAAAGTGCTTGTTGAAACAATAGAAAAAATTGTTAAAAGTTAATTAAAAGAAATTTACAGCATCAACGTTACTTTCTAATACAAAGCACAGAAGAAAAATATTTCAATTGAATCAGTTATTGAATTATTTAAACAATAATACTAATTCAAAAAATAATAGCAATAATAATTTAACAAAGATTGGGAGAACAATAATATTATAATTTTCATGCTGTGAAATGTAGTTGCAGTACGAATTGTTCGATAATCGAAAAAAAAAGAAATTCGATTATTCAGTCATACTGAACGTAATTAATTCGGATAATCGAAGTGTACCGTGCTTGTGTAGAATGATATATTGGCATAACAACGTGGCTATTGAATAAATCGTAGCGTTCGGTCTTGTTGGAAATCTTGTGGATTGGATAATTTTCCATTGCATGCTATTGGGCTGTTTGAATTAATGTTTGATGAGTTCCGCCGGGTTACGTTGTACTTACAAAATTCGATAGCGCGATAAATCCTCGCGACGCGTGAACTGGATAAATAAATCATAGTTGACTCTCTCGATTATGCGAGAATGAATAATTAGATTATAAATAACTGGATTATAAATTCGGTATCCTTTGCAATTTACATGTGTCACTATGACTATTAAAGTGGCGTTAGTTGAACATAAGTTCATTTAGGCGTAAACAGCACGATAGTTTAATAATTTTAAGGTAGACGAAACGGTAATATCGTCAATCATTTTCGTTAATAAAAATTAACACGTTCATTAGAATTTCGTAATAATTTCATTTTATAATCTCTCGATACTACGTCACTCGCAATTCATGTTCCGTATGTTCATTGATCAAGA